ACAACATCAAGATGCAGTGCAGAACAAAATTTGCAGTTTAGAACATCCGTCAGGAGAAACACACACAATCTCAGAGTGGAAAAAATAGCGTCAATTGCATTCAGAGATCAGTTGACCAGATCCATAATTTTTTTGTTGTCGAAAGATAGGTAGAAGAAAGGTTTGATCCGGCAGCAAAGCAGGTAAAAAAAAGGGAGGTTTGGGAGAGAGAGCAAAAAGCATCTGACTCCTCTGAAGGCCAAGAAGAAAAAAAAAAAAGCTTTCACGAGGCTCTGGATCGCTCTGTCCCCTCACTGCACAGAAAGTCATTTTTATTCAGATTTATAGTTTTGTTTTCTGCTTTTATTGTTCTTCATTATATTTATGACAAGTTTGTATATTTTTTAAGTCTGAACTGTGCACAGTGTTCATGTGCCAGATACAAAAAGTTTGTTAAACTCTTGAAAGCTGTCCAGAAAATAATAAATAAATAAATACAATTTTAAATAATTTGAAGTTTTATTCGACTAACCTTGACATGATGCAAAATAAGACAAACCAGAACTAAAGAGCATCACAATATACAAAATTGAAAACATTTTGAAACACTCCATAAACTCTCCTTTTCAGTGGGCTGAGTGTTATTGTGGGGAAATGAATATTAAATAAATACAGAACCTGCTTGCCATTTTTGATTTCAAAGTGCTGATTTTATGGCTTAACTGTTTGCCATATCACACTCTCATCTCCCACTGCCGGGATCACCTCTACAGTTTTCAGCCACTGATTTGAATCAAACAGCAAGCCTTGAATGAGAGCTTTCCTTCTCTACACAGATTATTTGGAACCAGCCATGCTTTGTTTGATGCACAATGTGGGTAAAACGTCACAGGACATCCTGTGAGTCAGGCAACTTAGGTTTAAGGAAAGGAGGAAGTAAGATGTTAGCTTTCCTACTTTAACTTAAATAGTGTGGATTTAACCAGATAGGCGAGGCATTCTAAGCTCAGCGTTCAGCCAGACAGCGAAGTTCATTACACATGCCAGCTCTACCTTAGAAGATGAGTTCTGTCACCTTGTCCAGGTATTTGGGTTTCTCATAGAAAATCCTATCAGGACCGTCCACACAGAGGGACCCTCTAAAGGCGTGTTTTCCAGACTGCTTGCGTCCGCGTCAAGCCGTAGAAAGAAAGCAAAGCCAAAAACTGGATCCGGATTTCAGAATAAAACTTCTGACAGGACGATTTTAAACAGATTGGATAAACCAGACCTTGGTTATCCAGGCTGTGAGGTTTCCCCATTGGTGATGAGAGGTAAACCTGACACAGCTTCAGCTATTGACTCCCCAGGGAGAATCTAGCTGGGTGACTGACGGGTGGTCCGTCACTTTCTGCCATCCGGGCAGAAACTGTTAATCACTAAAAGCTTAAATGTCCTAAGTTCTGCCCTCCGAAGGTTAGATTAGAAAAGAAGTTATCAAAGAAAGGGTTAGTTGACGTCGCCTCCTGAAACTAAACAAAGATTACTGCTTCTGTGTAGTTCATAAACAAAACATTTCATGACCCATTTAATTATTATCTGATGAGAACTTCTTAAAAACATAACTGCAAGAATGAATTTCTTCAAATTCAAAACATTTGCAAATATGATTCAGACAAATAAATCATTGATGTTTCATCAACTTTAAATCATAAAGATTATTTTAGTTAAATAAGATTTTTGCACAGAAAATCCATACACAGCTGAAATCAAATTGAGGGAGAAAAGAGATCTATCCTCTTTTGTCCTGTAACTTTGATAAACATTCTCTGAATATCAAAATGCGTAATAACCTGGTGGCTGCCCGGTGGGGCTTGGGTCCCTCTGGCCCTGTCGGGCCTTGGCCTGGGGGTGGGGGTGTGCCCTGGGGGCCCGGGCCTCTGTGTCCATGCCTGGATCCACTCTGGTGCGGTGGGTAACGGTGGGGCCTGTGAGTTCATTGCTGCTGGCCCCAGGGTTTGCTGTGTGTGGTCACTGGTGGGGCTCTTCTGGTTCGCTTGGGGTCCCTCTCGGGGTCTTTGGCGCTGGTCTCCCTTATGTCAGCTTCTGGCTTTGTGGGTCGGGTCTGTGGTCCCCCACAGTCACTTTGAAATATTCCATTGGAGAAGATCTTGTATATACATCGTGCTCACAACTGCACACAAACAGGTGTTTACAACCTGGGTTTTCTATTCGGACACTGACTGAATGGTATGTGCATAT